CCACAACGGTATCTACCAGAACAGCTACCAACCACAACGGTATCTACCAGAACAGCTACCAACCACAACGGTATCTACCAGAACAGCTACCAACCACAACGGTATCTACCAGAACAGCTACCAACCACAACGGTATCTACCAGAACAGCTACCAACCACAACGGTATCTACCAGAACAGCTACCAACCACAACGGTATCTACCAGAACAGCTACCAACCACAACGGTATCTACCAGAACAGCTACCAACCACAACGGTATCTACCAGAACAGCTACCAACCACAACGGTATCTACCAGAACAACTATCAACCACAACGGTATCTATCAGAACAACTATCAACCACAAAAGTATCTACTAGAACAACTATCAACTACAATGGTATCTACTAGAACTACCAATCATACAGTATCTATTCTGAACTTCTCAGAAGGTCTTTAAACATTTCACTTCTAATTAATTTTCTGGATAGTTATTTTTACTCTCAAATAGTAAGATTCACCTGGTCATTACTAAGTTAGTCTTCAAAAATAATATTTATCTTTAACCTGCTGGGAATACTGATAAGAAGGAATGATAAGGAATACCATCAGGTAGGTATGTTATTTTACTTTCCTCTACGTAATCTTTTAGTAGGAAAATAAAGCCCTTTTCTTAAAAAACTTCAAACCTCAAAGTGGTCTGTATCTTCTTCATTATTAAGATGTAACTTTTCAGAGAATAAAGAGATGGGATCACGAATGAACAGATGAGCAACATGCTGGGCCAGCAGGTGGTCAATTCCTACAGAAATATGAAGAGTTGTGATGTTACACTCAAACTTTCTCACCTTCACGAAGTAAAGATTAGCAATCGGGAATCAACTTACATACATTTTTTAATTAATTTCTCTCCTGAAAACCCTCAAACTTCCTATCAGAATTTTTAATTCAGTTCCAAACTAATGTTTCTTCATATCCTTGAGGAGTGGAAACTGATTTTACTTTTGTTAAACAACTTTTTGTTTCACAGAATTTAACTGTACATTACTAAAGTAATGTACAGTTAAACTTACCAACAGCTGCGAGATGCTGGTATGTTGTAGTAATGTACAGTTAAACTTACCAACAGCTGCGAGATGCTGGTATGTTACAACATACCAGCATCTTCCAGTTGTTGTTAATTTAACTGTACATTACTAAAACATACCAGCATCTCGCAGCTGTTGGTACACATCTCTGTCATATACTACATCAAGGTCATTAAACTTCTCTCCCTCTGGTGACAAGTAACTATCTATGGTGTCATATCGAGATTTGTTAATTCGAAACCTGTCATCTACCAGTGGCTTGAGAAAGTAAAAAAAACACAAAATAAACAACACTGACTTAATTTTTTTTTTACAAGGTTATGAACAAGTACTTCATACTATTAGAACATGTAAAAGGTCAGAGTAATCAGCTGAGCTTGAAACTGCTCAAACATCGTATATCATAAGAAAAAAATAATAATAATCTTTCAATAACTAAGTTCAACTTGCTTTTAAACAGCAGCATTTCAAACCACAGACAGAAATGATAAAACATATGTACATATACATATTGATTCCAGTTCAGCTGATATGGTACTTTTCTCACCTTTTACTAAACTTGTTAGCATTTCAATAAGAAGAAACCAAATGTAAAAAACAGTGAGAAAGAGAGAAACATATCAAAAGCTGACCTCAAAACCAAGTTCTTGGTTTGTTCGATCGTCAACTGAAGCTGATACAATGTCCCACCTGCAATCCCGTTCTGACAGATAACCACGCTGAACTGGGGATGCTGCACTAAGAGCCATCTGGAGGAATACAATAAAAAAACTAATTATACTGGTTCACACTTCATTTATCATAAATTACAAATTTTCAATGAAAATTAAAGGCAATTTTTGATAACCATTTATAATATTGTAATCTGCAGAGTTTATTTCTTCTAAAATGATTAAGATACAACAGCTGTGTGTAAACAGTAGGATCCAGTGGGTTCACACTTTAAGAACAAAGTGATCTGGCTTTATAACACAAGTATTTTATCTTGTTTACAATTTCCAGTATAGTTTGTTTGTTTCTACCTTTGAGAAATATACCATGTAAAATCAGTCTATAAAAAAAAAACCTTCAAGATGTCACATAATACATTATACCAAGTGATTTTATAGTAAAATGTGAATTAAGCTTACCTAGTATAATATGCAATAATCACCTAAAATAACACACCATTAATTTAAAACATTAAATAAAAACATTAATAAAAAACAATTTCAGGATGTCACATAATACATTATACCAAGTGATTTTATAGTAAAATGTGAACTAATCTTACCTAGTATAATATGCAATAATCACCTAAAATAACACACCATTAATATAATCACACATCATTAAAAAATATATATCATAATAGACTAACAAGCAGCTTACCTACCACAACACTACCTGCAACAACAGGCAAGGAACCTTCTTAATGTAATCTATTATAAATCAATATGTACTAACAAAGAAGAAGCCAACTCACCATAATGGGGCAGATTGGTGCCAATTGGTCATAGAGAACACGAGATTCACGTATGTTACAAGCCTGAAAGGTGACCTGGAGACAGCAGCAGCCCATGCCAAACCCCATAGCATCCATGTAGATGTGATCAGGAAGAGCAGCCTTTGCTCCTTGTCCATCATCTCCCAGTGAGGTTAGGTCCTCCACAAATGGGGATCGTGTGTTAGCATCCTTATATACTGGAAGATAAAAAGCCCCAGATATCTATAATGCTGAAGAAAACACCACAATTGATTATGTAAAGAAACATGTAAAATTACAGTTATGTCTGTTAGTACTTGTTCTTCTTATTCTATAGACATAAATGTTATCTTGGCAACTTTCATTATCACTGCCATCAAAATATAAACATTTCAATACAAATAACGAAAAATATGTACATTTTAACTGATTTTTGTTCGGTATTTTTGCTATTTTATTATACGAATCCATTTTGTTTAATCTTTTCTAAAATTATATTATGGTTTTTACAACTTTCTGTTATTAATGTGTATTGATAAAATTGTTTGACTTGAGAAAGTTTTTATTTTCAGCTATATTTCACATTTCTATTCTCCTAGCCTAGTTTGAAATTCAATTCATTCATATAGCACTACATTAAAGCCAAATAATCAGTTTTACTTAAACAACAAGTAGTTTGTGTAAAAAACAGGTTATACACATTGGGTATATTGATAAGAAGTAGTTTGTGTAAAAAACAGGTTATACACACTAGGTATATTGATAAGAAGTAGTTTGTGTAAAAAACAGGTTATACACACTACGTATATTGACAAGAAGTAGTTTCTGTAAAAAACAGGTTATACACACTAGGTATATTGATAAGAAGTAGTTTCTGTAAAAAACAGGTTATACACACTGGGTATATTGATAAACAACAAGTAGTAGTAGTTTCTGTAAAAAACAGGTTATACATACTGGGTATATTGACAAGAAGTAGTTTCTGTAAAAAACAGGTTATACACACTGCGTATATTGATAAGTAGTAGTTTGTGTAAAAAACAGGTTATACACACTGGGTATATTGATAAGTAGTAGTTTCTGTAAAAAACAGGTTATACACACTGGGTATATTGACAAGAAGTAGTTTCTATAAAAAACAGGTTATACAGACTAGGTATATTGATAAACAACAATTAGAAGTAGTTTCTGTAAAAATCAGGTTATACATACTGGGTATATTGATAAACAACAATAAGTAGTAGTTTGTGTAAAAAACAGGTTATACACACTGGGTATATTGATAAGTAGTAGTTTCTGTAAAAAACAGGTTATACACACTAGGTATATTGACAAGAAGTAGTTTCTGTAAAAAACAGGTTATACACACTAGGTATATTGATAAACAACAATTAGAAGTAGTTTCTGTAAAAATCAGGTTATACATACTGGGTATATTGATAAACAACAATAATTAGTAGTTTCTGTAAAAAACAGGTTATACATACTGGGTATATTGATTATCACTTTCTTTCCTCGCCGCTCCCTGATGTTACGAGCAAGAGTTCTTGAAAAAGAAAATTGACAGTTAAATAAAACGAGTTTACATATCAAACTGTCGTATTCTGTGTCACCTTTATATATTATTATTATCATTATATATTATAATGTTTTTATAATTCTACCTTATAAAAATAAATTTGTAGCAAAAAAAAAACTTAGAATTATAGTTAAAATCTATAATAATAAAAGGGCATGTCTGTGGGTCTGTGTGTGACTGCCATAGCTCCTAGGGGAAAGAACCTAGAAACATGAAATTTTGCACACATACTAAGTTGATCCTGAAGGTATGCACCTGGGTATTATTACTTATCCACTTGTGTGCACATCTTTTTTTATGAGGCAAGTTAGCAAAAACTGCACAGAAAAGAAGTGGTTCCTTATATTACAAACAGAAATCATAGACAGACAGACATGCATGTCTGTGTATGTGGGTGCATGCTTGCACACATGCGTGCCTGTGTATGTGTGATCATCGTAGCTCCAAGAGCAAAGAACATAAAAACCTCAAATTTTGCACCCATACTAAGTGGACCCTGATGGTGTGCATATGGATAAGTAATAATACCCATGTAATATAAGGAACCACTTCTTTTCTGTGTGGTTCCTTATATTACAAATAGAAATCATAGACAGACAGACACATGTGTGTGTGTGTGTGTGTGTGTGTGTGTGTGTGTGTGTGTGTGTGTGCGCACGTATGTCTGTGTGACCCCCATAGCTCCAAGAGGAAAGAACCTAGAAACCAGAAATTTTGCATCTATACTAAGTGCATCCTGAAGATTTCCACCTGGGTATTATTACTTATCTTATCCACTTGCATGCGAGCATCTTTTTAATGAGGGAAGCTAGCAAAAAGCCACATAAAAGAGAAGTGATTCCTTATATAACAACTTCTAATATATAGAAAAGCCAGTGCATTTTGTTAAGAATGCATTCCTACAATGCCTTTTATGCCATGTTGCTTAGCAACAAAAGTATAGAGGTTATACTTCTATTCTAAAATGGATTCAGAATACACACACTATCAACCTAATAGCCCAAGTGAAGCCGGGTACTTTCACTAGTATATAATAAAATATTCAAAGATGATTTGAAAAATATTAAAAAAAGTTTACACATTCCTTTTATATACTTTATTCAGTTTAGATAAAAGTTGTACATTTAGAAAGCTAGTGGTTAACGTGGCTAAGTGTTTAGAAAGCTAGTGGTTAACGTGGCTAAGTGTTTAGAAAGCTAGTGGTTAACGTGGCTAAGTGTTTAGAAAGCTAGTGGTTAACGTGGCTAAGTGTTTAGAAAGCTAGTGGTTGAGGTGGCTAAGTGTTTAGAAAGCTAGTGTTTAACGTGGCTAAGTGTTTAGAAAGCTAGTGTTTAACGTGGCTAAGTGTTTAGAAAGCTAGTGGTTACCGTGGCTAAGTGTTTAGAAAGCTAGTGTTTAACGTGGCTAAGTGTTTAGAAAGCTAGTGGTTACCGTGGCTAAGTGTTTAGAAAGCTAGTGGTTAATGTGGCTAAGTGTTTAGAAAGGTAATTCTTTCAACATCCATGTTTTGAAGTAACATTTACCCTGTGGAACTGGAACTTGAAATGACCAAAACTTATTTTCTTAACTCGATTATCTCATTTACTAATGGCAATCTGAACTTATATGATCTTAATTACATTAAGTGTAATCCCCGATACCTAAATCAAAGGAGTAATAATTTTGCAACTGTAAAGATTTATGCTTGTTTGTAATAAATCTGAATATTGTTTATTCTATGTCAAACTGTTAACTTAAAAACTCAAGTTTAACAGCTATAACATTCCCACTATAATTAAAATTTACTGATTATTTTTCAATAAATATAACATTAAACTCAATAAAATGTGATTTTCACCTGTTTTTACATGTTATCACATGACTATCTTCCAGCCTGGTGTTATTTTTACAGTTACTTCTTAAGAACAGGTACAATCTTATTCTCTGCTTATCTTCGTATATTATTTATTCTAATGCAAGGTTGCTTCAGTCTGTCCATACCGTCTAAAACTTTTCTTAAATATATAATGTTTTAATCTGTTTTTTCCCTATGATACGTTACATGGTGCTTTTTGACACCTTTCTTTTCACTTTATGTTCTAGGGAGGAGGATGGGTTGTTTCTGATTACATACGGTTAGGGAACATAATCCCTTTTATTTATTTATTTTACTTTTCATGTATTATACATTATTTCTCTGCTATTGGTATTCTGAATTATTTTGGTTTACCTGTGGTTGGGTTGTTTATCATTTATTACTGAATAATGTCCTCCCCATAATCAGATGCAGACAGTGAATGTGTAGTTTGGTTCAGGACATCAATGGTTCAAACATCTGAACCAGGCCCTTTAATAGTTTCAAATGTTCTTATCTGTTTTTGCACAACAGATTCTTACCTGCATCAGTGTATAATTGAAGATACAGACTATCCTCAATGCTGGTACGCCATTATATATCACTCATAACCACAACAAAATAGGTTTTTTTTACCACCACCACCATTACATTTTGTCTTTGCAAATTATTGGATTATATTTTAAGATATTTTCTCTTCATCATTTTGTGATTGCTGTCAAGTTTTACTGACACACAATGTTTAATTTTTATTTTGTAATTTTATGTTTATTATTATTACTGTGTGTGTGTTTGTGTTTTCTGAATATACCTACTTAAACCTTGGATGGTTCCCATACACAGCTTCATCAGGAAAAAATAAGGAGCATAAGGCACCTTTGTGAGGGTTGGGCTTCGTAGGTGGATCGGTGAAGTCTTCACAGCCTAGCCTTGAAATATAATTACAAAAACTATCTAAATACATGAAGTGTGTTAAGCAACAAATAAAATATAATACCTTTATGGCAAGATTACATGAAACTTTACCAAAAAATACCTATTATCTAATCATGTATTTAACATCGGTACTTATACCATTAGCATTTACATCATTGCATTGGTAAGTTTTACTGAAACTTGCAACTAAGTTTGGTTTTCAGATAAAAATTCCAGAAAAACGTACTAAAGAGCATGTGATTAGTAGCACCCACCAACAGGGTACTCAATCTAGACAATCTAGCACCCACCGACACGGTACTCAACCTAGACAATCTAGTGCCCACCGACACGGTACTCAACCTAGACAATCTAGCACCCACCAATATGGTACTCAATCTAGTGCCCACCGACACGGTACTCAACCTAGTGCCCACCGACACGGTACTCAACCTAGTGCCCACCGACACGGTACTCAACCTAGACAATCTAGTGCCCACCGACACGGTACTCAACCTAGACAATCTAGTGCCCACCGACACGGTACTCAACCTAGACAATCTAGTGCCCACCGACACGGTACTCAACCTAGACAATCTAGTGCCCACCGACACGGTACTCAACCTAGACAATCTAGTGCCCACCGACACGGTACTCAACCT